AACAGCCACATAACTGAAAGAAAGCACTTATACCTCACAGCTAATATTTCTTCCAATTTAACTGCAATGTGCTAGATTGTAGTGCCAAACAATAGAACATGTGTCACTGTACAAATATTCACTGACCGCACAGTATTAAAGTGATTTTATTGATGAATAACAATCACTGCCTTTCCATCTGTCAAAAAAAAAAAAAAAAAAGCTATGACAGCTAAACAGGCAAACCCAGACTGAAAGGATATCTCGACACATGTGCCACTTAAAGCACATAAATAAAGCTGCTTGATAATAAAGACAGCTGCAATCTGATTACTCACCATTATGTGCAGGAAAATGGTGACTCAGTTGGATGGGTCAAGTTCCACTTCCACTACCTTTCATTTGATGCTAGGAAAAACAAAGCCAGCTCATTTGAAAAAGTTGCACACTTCTGGTTCGTACATGATTTTGTAAGGGGAAAAAAAAAAAACCACATATTTTTGTAGCTACACACTCACATAAAACAAAGTGTGTGTGTTGATAAAGCCAACGTTAGCATGGTTTGTCCTGACCTGGTAAGGCCTTCGGACACAACACCATGCCTTTAGCTTAGCAACGCTTCTTACTTTAAGACTTTAATGGCAACACTTCTGAAACCACATGCTCCGAATGTCATTAAATTGGTACACTTTAAACATTAACACCATGAAAAAACAACAACTAAGATGAATCGATACAGCTTGCCAATTTAACAAGATGCTGCTTTGCTTGTATGCTAAAAAGGTAACAACCAGTTAGTTTGTTAGCACACCTACTTCCAAAGTAAATATGCAATCTGTGAACATTTTAAAGAAGGTGCACACAACAGTGTCTCTTACCCGGTCACTCCTGTTGGTCTTGGAAGGCAAAACAACCCCGAGGTGTTGGCATTTGTCCCGTACAACACGTTCATAAAAAGCTTCGCTCCTTGACGGCTGCTGGCTAACGTTAGCTTCGCTTCGCCAATCAGCTAGCTTTGTTAACGTTTGCAGTCGACAACATTACCGTCAGCTCGCCTTTCGTCACCTTCTGCACACGGACGAAAGCACAAAGCGTTTATGTGGCCGGATTTGGGGCTCTTCTCTAAACGTGCGGGTTCACATTGCCGTCTAGGATGACACAATAAGGTGACATCTTTCTTTCTAGGTTGGCTAACACTTTGTAGCTCACGGCCTCTTCCTTTCTTCCTTTGTTGCCTGTTGAATTGTGGGAGTAGATTCAGATGCAGCGAATCACACACACACACAGTTTGTACATCCCAGAGACAGACTCAACACAAACACCTACAGATCATGGGTTTAATTCAAATTCAAATAATTATATATATTATTAAAAAAAATATGTTTTACATTTAATGTTATTATTTGAACATATTTGTGCTTGGAAATGTGTTTTGTATTTTTAATAAATTCAGGTTAGAAAAGAGAAATGTATTATCTGACGAAATGTTGGGGCAGTGTAGCAATACTCTGTCCGTCCTTAAATAACCCAGCACCTAATGTTATTGAGCAAAGCATTTTACTATAACTGCTCTAATGGGGATGCTCAGTTGCTAAAAGTAGAAGGATGTGGTTGACTTGGGCGGCTCCTCTGTATGGAGTAAGGTGTTGCAAAAAACCATGCATGCTCTGTGAACTTCTGCTGGGAAAAACATTGAGTTTTAAAAATAAAGAAGTAAATAAGCCATGTGGCCTAAATCAATATTACTGCATTAATTGTCCTGTCAAATAAAATTCAGCAAACTTGGAACAGGGAGTAGTTGCTGGAAGGAAGTTGCCTATTCTGTCCACTCATAACAGATACATAAACCGTGAACATTTTTAGATATGCAGTCCCTGAAATAATCTTTCATTTGTCACACTTTTTATAAGGATACTGTAGTGTGACATGCCTAATAAAGAGTGTCTGTTTTTTTCTTAATTGTGCTAAATCAAGTCATGCCTTCAATGCTTTTGGAGAATTGTGACACATTTCATATAGTCTGTGATTGCTGTGATAATTAATACAGAAGCGGCTTATGAAGATACTAAAAAATGAAAGCTTATTTGTAGCTTATAGCAAATAATTTAGTGTTTGTTAGTGTCTGTTTTCTGCTTGTTTGGTTGCACACACACCATGCCGTTATAATACAGTTTAAATACAGATATATAACTTTCCCCCAGTGCAATAATCAGGATTCCATTTTCCACCACAGATATATCAGATAACTGTAGAAATATCAACCACTACATTTTTTTCCCCTAAAGCTGGCTGTGCTTAGCCTTTATGCAGGAAGGTCTTCCTAATTTGTATTCCAGCAACATCAAGTTGGCCCTCAAAGTATTTTCATGTATTTGATACAGCAACTAAAACTTGAACTCTGAAATGATACATTGGTCGCCTAATTAGTGTCAGTATTGTTTTAAAGTAGATTGTGTTTACCACTGCCAGGCTAATTTGGTCCATATACTGAACATTACATTGTTTTTTCCACACTGTCAAGTGTATGGCAGTCCTTCAACAACCTGCTTAGGGCAGCTGTGTGCAGACAGGCTCTATGCAAAGACTCTAATTACCAGGCCCTATTAGGGTTGATCAGGCTGCCTTCACTTGATGTGTTGGCACAGGAGGGGAGGGCTGGTGGTGGGGGAGGAAGGAGGGGTGGCAGCTCTTAGATATAGCACCAAGGACACTGGGAAGCGAGGATGCGATGTTTCTACAAGATAAATTAGCCCTGACAAACAAACTTTAGTCTGGTTGATATTTGTTGCCAGACAGTAAAAACAAGTAAATACTCAGTTGTGGCCAGAACCCAGTCTGTTTTGTCATGACAGGATAAACAGATCAAAAAAGTTACTAATAGCAGGCTGTTTAGATTTTAGATAAATTAAATCTTACTCTAATAGTTTGATAGGAATGGAGAGTATCTGCCCGATGTTGCCAAACACCACAGAGCACAACATGTGAGGGCATCTCTGTCTCTCTCTCTCTCTGACGATCAATATTTCCAAAATAATTTGAATTTATGTATAAGCACGACTCAAAAGCACTGAACCTCAAGTCAGGGTGGAACACTGTACACAGGGATCAGGCCAAACTGTTTAATGAGACACCTCTACATGTGGGGAAGCTCCTCAGGTTTCATCTTAATTTCAAATGAACGCTGTATCAGCCATAAATTATTTGCACAAAAATGTCTTTCGCTCGCTTCAGTTTCACTCAGTCCTTTAACTCGACTCCTTTGCCAATGGGGGATTATCGGGGGGGGGGGGCCCATCGGTGCCCACCCTCATATCCTCAACACTTGCAGCGGAGCGGAAGACGGGTACAGCAGGCATGTCAAACAGTGACAGGGCCAGTGGGACCACTTGGGTTTTGTTTCAGGAATGACTGTGGGAGAAGACAGTAGCCTCCAAATACAATCTGAGAATTTATGGTAAGGATGATGTCCACACATCAGCCTCACTGTGTCTCATGCTCATTTCGACAGTTTCATTTTCCTTCCTTTTTTTTTGTTAGCAATATAAATCAAAGAGTGGTTGAATCAGTCCATCATATGACTTTTTCCCTTATACAATGACTACTATTACACCAGCTGTGTCCACCATGTAATGACTCATCTACAGAGACTTGAGCTCAGTCCAAATAGCTCTCTGGTTAAAACAATGAATTATTTGCTTTCATGCTTCAGCTCTGTAATAACGTCACCCTTGATTTCACATTGTTAATTCCTGAAGTAACTCCTCATATTTTGTTGCCATATGGGGTGTTGAATTTTGGACAATTAGAGTAATTATATCACTACTTAGTTGATTTGACCTTGTTTTAAGCAATGAAATGCATTAAGAGCTACAGGTCCAGCAGCCCTCCTGAAACATTTGGTGATAAACTCAATGTACATGATTTAGTTTACTGCAGATTCCTTACATTTCTGTTTACTGTCACTTTAAAGTGCTTGAATGTGCTAAAAGAGACTGTAAAAAAAATGATTAGGGGCAGAGAGGGTTATGTATTCTTTCTTTTTGCTGGTAGTTTGACTTTTTTGGGAGAGTCTTTTAGTCACTAACCCCAAATTTACATTCTTTGATTGTTCTAAGACTTAATTCTTCTCTCCACAGTCTAGTAGCTAATGGGGCCAATTAGTAGAAACACAATACATTTGCTATTTTTATGGGGTTTTGGGATTAAATGTTCTCTTGCCCATTAGTCTGCATTATGACAGAAAGTTATATGTTTCATAAAGCTGGCCAATATTGTAATAATATATTTATGTCTAGCCTTTAATTTAGTATCTCCTTATTCTTAAATATACATAATTAAGCTATACAGTTGGACTTCTTTCCAGCTATATACAGTATGTAGTCTCTACCAGATATCTCCAAAATGAAATCAGCAGTGCAGTGCTTCATGACTTCTGTCCAGGTTGGCCAGTATGGTCAGGCGCATGATGACTCATTATCAGCTTTAACCATGGTGAGAGTCCAGAGACTGAGATGCTCTGAAATCTGGCTTCAAAGTGTTTAATTTGGCATGATTTCTATTCAGAGACGAAGCTTACATTCATTAATAGCCTGAGGTGGTTTCTGGCATATGAGTAATTTAGCTTGATATAAAATAAATGACAGATTTTGTGTATGATTTACAATGTCAGGAATCCTTATATTGCTTTTGAAATCACAGGCAATTAGAGGTTGAAAGTACAAAACACAGAATATACCTTCAGACGAAATTTGCACTTATATAAGCTTACAGTCATACAAAAAATCTTTACAGTGAATATGAATGAAAGCACAACTGCTGTTTTGAGGACAAAAACGTCTGAAAAGACATCTGGGAGAAAAGCTGTGTGATGGTCAAAAATACAGGGCTGAATGACATACACATTATCCATGTTTTCATTTATTTAAAGTGAAGTTTTGCTTCCTGCCTGCAGCCTATGCTAACAAAAGATCCAAGACACACAGTGGTTGTCAAACAGAAATTATGTGATGTACTGTTTGGAGCAGACTCAACCACTTTTGAGAACTCCTAGTCTGACCCAGGGCGATGTATTTTTCCACTAGGTAAAGAAGGCTTCCTCAGCTGTTTGGATGCCTCTCACTCTGTTACATTTGTAGAATGTCAAACCCAGTCCTATATATTGTATCAGAGGCTGGGGGAACTGGAATACATTTTTTATCCTCCACAGGTCAATGGACCCTTTGGCAGGTCCATCAATATGACTCATGTTGTGCAGCCAAGCTCCAGTCCAAAACACAACAGATTTTGTTTTAAATTCTGGTCAACATGCAAAGGTTTCCAGACATAACAAATATGTCACATAAAATTACAGGGATGTGTGGATAAAATAATTTCCCATTTAGTGTGATGGTGCAACCATATGAAAACAGCATCTTGAATTGGATATTTGATTTACTGTGCAGTAAATATGATATATGAAGCTCTGGAATGTGGATGATTGCCTAAAAGAAAAATGTATCTGAATTTTAAATAATTTTAGAAAGTGGAGAGGAGTATTGGTTTAAAAAAAAATGTGCTGAAGTAAAACAGTAATGGATTATGAAAGTAGAAATTATAATTTTCCTTCTACCCCCTCAAACTCTTCGAAGGTGACATTAGAATATACAGTAGGCAGCCAAATTAATTATGGGCTTAAATCCCTCTGGAATTCTCAAAAGCTGTGTGATTATATTATTATCATATCAAATTATCATTTGCTAAGTTTGTTAATTATCACCCTGTCAGCTGATCATATCCACATCACATCTCAAGTGTGAGATCTCAGCAATTGGATTAACTTACACACAGCAAATAACTTATGCCTGCACTCATGTTAAGAGGCTATGCGCATCATCTTTGATATTTGAGAACGTCAGTGTTTGAGGAGATTAATTTAATGACAGGATAATGTGGCTGCTGTCAAAACTTCATTCAATATTGAAGCAATGCAATGATTTTTGAAACATGCCTTGAAACACTGATTATCCTGGCAAGAAAAATTGCTTCGGCGTGTTTACATAACATTTCAAAAGATCAAATGGGAGAAATATGCCACAAATTGGAACATCATATGTCTCATGTCACAAACACTGTTGACAGAAAGAGCCACCCAGATAGGATTACTCGGACATAATCTGATCAGCTGTGATCTACAGTGATTTACAGGTTGATGACTTCCTGTGTCACGGTGGGGTAAAGGTGGCAGACAAAAGAACAAACTAATACA